GCTTTCGTGGGTAAGAACCTCACTTCTTCAGATGCATCTGAAGAAGTGAGGTTCTTACCCACGAAAGCTTATGCTCCCAGTACTTCTGTTAGTCTCAAAGGTGCCACAGGACCCTCTGTTGCTTTTTACAGATTCAGACTAACACGGCTACCCCTCTGATACTAAACTGTTTTATGCTGCACTCACAGATTTTAGTATTTGCAACATGTAGCTGCATTGTACAAGTTATAAGGGAGAAAGTTTGGCAGTCAAGTAGGGGAGGTTTGGCAGTCAAGTAGGGGACAACAGGCTTTTGGCATAGGGGAGGCTTTTCACGATTTTGGCCTCTTTTCTTTCACTCACTCTCATGGGCAGGGTTATAGGTAACTTGAAAGTTTTGGGAAGGCTTGAACCTGTGCTCCCTAAATCTCGTTAGCTCTTGTCAATGAGAAACCATCCCACTGTACCTCTCCCAATACCCGGCACTACAGCCAATACACAATAATAATACAATGGACTTTGCAATACTTCTGTGTTGCAGCTAAAACATTCAGCAATGTAATAGTATTTTCACATAGCCCATGTTGATCTATGCGGGAAAATTACACCACTGTCTAAGTTATTGTTTCAGGGAGTCTGCAGACTCAGGAAGACACTCTGCATTTGTTTACATTTGGAAGTTTATTTTCACAGCTATAAGGACTAAAATCTAAATTTAAGAGTAGAAAATCCACTGCGCAATTCTACAGCAAAATCATGTGATTGCTCAATCCTGGAATACAGAGAGCTTAGTTAAATTCCCTCTCCTGATACATGACTGCCAGGAGATTTTAAATGTGAAGATAATTTGATGAAATTGTTTTCATACAGTATGACCTAATGATGTAAGTAGGAGTTAATTGTTTTTAGTCTAAATAGGTTAGTGAAACAAAGAATCTATTAGTGTTCTTGAAAGATGCTGGCTTATTTAAATCCTGGGATGGTGGCCAGAGGCCACCAGAACAACGAAAGGTCCAGTTCTTCCACAGAATGGCCAGAACACAGGCAGGTTTCCCTGCATGCTGCCCTGCTAATGAGCCTCAACCCTCCCTTGGGACCAGCTCTAGAGACAAGAAACCAGTTTGGTTTCTGTGCCCATTCTGTCCTTGGCCTCTCTGCTGACCTTTGGTGATTGCGGAAGAAGACTTGCAATGGGGACACCTCTCTACTTAGAACTAGACTGAGACCAAACTCATTTAACATAGGCCACCGAGCAGCCCTTATGGAAGGGAAAACTTCCAGTAAATATTACCCCGGGCTGGAGTACAACCAGGGCCCTAGAGCTGAAAGGAAATGAAATGTCTCTGTTTGTTTCATTTTGGTAGTGTCATTCTTACAAAACGCTCAGGGCATTTCACAGCGCTGGAAGTCTGAAAGGAGGAAGCTTTAACATCTTTTTGGAGTGGGGAGGGGGTTAAATTGTGTCATTGTGCCCTGACTGAGCATTAGCGTTAAGCTGTGCCATCCACTGAGCAATTCAGGGAGGGATTGTGTCTAGGGTTACCATATTTTAATTTAAAAAAAGGAGGACACTCCACGGGGCCCTGGCCCAGCCCCAACTCCACCCTTTCCCCACCCCTTCCCCGCCCCGCCCCTTCCCCAAAGTCCCCGCCCCAACTCTGCCCCCTCCCCTGAACACTCCGCCCCTCTGCTCCTCCCCCTCCCCTGCTTCCCGCGAATCAAATGTTCGCGGGAAGCCGGAAACAGGGAGGCAGCAGGTAAGCTAGGGCTGGGGCTGGGGCTGAGGTTGGGGTTGGGGCTGGAGCTGGGGTGGGGTGCGGCCCAGTCCAGCCCCCCCGGCCGAGCGGCTCCCTCTGGCGGCCGGCCAGCCCAGGCCAAGAGGCTCTGGCCCCAGTGTCTCCCGCCCGGCTCGGCTCGGGCCCTAGGGCGCCGGCCCTGGTTCCGGCCGAGCGGCTCCGGCCCGCCCTGGCCTCGGCAGCCCCAGTGGCCCCAGCCCCTGGCCGAGCACTGCCAGCCCCAGTGGCCCTGTCCGAGCACCGCCGGCCCCCGTCCGAGCACCGCCGGCCCCAGCGGCTCCGGCCGGGACCCAAGTCCCACGACCCCTCCCTCCCTGTTTTCCCGGACATGTCCGGCTTTTTGGGATTTCCACCTGGACGGGGATTTGAGGCCCAAAAAGCTGGACATGTCCGGAAAATCCGGACATATGGTAACCCTAATTGTGCCTCATGGGCCCAGCGTGCATGGGGCCTGTGCAGATTACACTATTCGTTTAGGATGGCGCAGACTGCTCCTCCTCACTCAACTGGTCTTTTCCTCTGTGAGGTAATGCGGAGGAAGTGGGTGAGGCCTTGATTCTGCTTCCTTCCTGTTCCTTTTGGGGCAGTGTGTGCCTCAGGAGAGCACAGGGACTGCAGCAGTGACAGAGGCCCTCACTTCGGCTGCGCAATGTAGTTGGGGAAGCAATCTGTGCACCCCAGTTTCCTGCCTCACTCTTGGGGCGTTGCCACCAGAATCTGGCTCCAAATTAATCTACGAAGCTGAACAATGAGTGCATGCTGTCACTGTCAGGGAAACACGATTGGGTACAGAAGTCCGACATTGCTGTCTTAGAGCCTCAAACCCAGCCCAACTGGAATTTGTCAGAGTTCAGACCTGGCCTGGTGGAGTTTTGTATGGTCCTTTTGGCCTATAACTTCTGAAGCTGTTTTCCCTCACACAGTACTCTGTCTGCAGCCCTCCGCTGTTCGCTCTGCAGTGCATCGTAGGGCCAGCCTCCCGCACAAAAATGACCGTGACCTGTTCACAACACTCATGTCTCCTGACCTAGTTACAACAGTTCAGATCTGTACTGCAGACAGGATCTTAACTGCATTCTGGGCCAGGGTTGAAGTGTCGATTACATACAAGGTTTTAGCTCTGCTGCATAACTTGGTCACAACATGATTACGTCCCAGTTGCTCTACAATGCCAATCAAGTTTTAACGAGGCCACGAGACAAAAGTGTTGGAAAGAGGTCCCCTGGCAAGGTTTGTACAGGACACAAATGATGTAGTTTCGGAATCACTGAGTTTAGGTCCTGATTCAAATCCCATCATAGTTAATGGGATTCTTTCCATTGGCTTCCATGAGCTTTGGAGACTGGGAGATGGAAGAGACATATCACCGTAGGTCAACTAAATCTTCTCCGTCTGGCAATGCAGGTTTACTCTATACAGCACACTGACAGCATTTTATCCAGTTTCATTTTAGAATTCTCGGGCAACTGGGCTTCTATCATTTTTCTCAGTAGACTGAGGCCTTTTCCATAGCCTTATTCATTGCACTGTCAAGAAGATTGATTTTACTGATATTCAGACAGCCATTTCCCCTTCTTAATTTCATCACACAACTCCTAGATATGC